TAAAAGTTCTCATTTTTTATGTAACTTTTTTAATTTTTTTATTATAATTTAATTTAAATTTAATAATGAAATAATTTATTTTTGGTTTAATATTATAAATTTTATGATGATAATAATTAAGTATTCTGTTAGAATTCAATTACTATACTAATTATATTTTATATATTTTTATATTTAAAATGAGATGTTTATTATGTATATGATTATGTTTATCTGGCATTTAGTTACACAGATTTAGATATGGAGCTTTAATAAGTTGTACTTACGCACAATCTACTTTTTATCTTGAGTTTGAAGTAATATGCATTAATAAACAGTATTTTACGCATAAAAATTGGTTTTTATGAGTTTTTATCAAATGCACTATAATATAGTATAGATTTTTATTAAATTTATTTTCACCATTTTTCAGTTATTCACTTTATTTTTTATAATAAAATTATAATAGCAAATTATAAATTTGGTTCATGTGGTTCTCGCATTTTTCCCATCTACTTCTAAACTCGAAATAAATACAAGAGTAGATTACATTCTTGGTTATGTGGTTTGTTGGTTTTTCCTACTATGGTCCCTCAAACACATTTACTACACTTTTCGTCCCTATGGTATGTAAAAACGCACGCTCCAAGTCCCTCCCTTTAACGAAATATGTTAACCCAATTCAAGGGACATTTTTCGTCTTTTTTTAACCCTGGTTTTTTTTCCCGTGTATTGTTTTATTATATTGTTATAATATTATACTCACACACACATCTATATATATAGTGTGTGTATATAGGGGTCTAATCAATAGGAAACTGTTTAGTTTGTGGTAACCGTGATATCTAACGTGAACCAATCATTCAAAATAATTAATATGATTTCTTAAAATAAGTAGAAGGGTAAATTAGTAAAATTGTGTTGAGTATTCAACTTACTTTAATTAGTTTAATATTCCAATTTTGAATTTAATTAGTTGTCTCTCTTAGTCTCACAAATGGATCGGCGAGTTCCTTCATTCTCCCTCAACTCTGGTAGTGACCTTCATTTTCTCCGGTGACCTTCTTCCTCCCTCAACTCTGGCCACCACAACATTCCCTCACTGTACATCATATACCCTCTATAAAGCGTCGATTCCCAAAAAAACCGAACAACATGATTTTTTCTTTAAACCTAGATCTACATCGCATAAAGATCTATAAAGCTTACAAGGTTTTCTTTCTTTTTCAGAAACCAATTAAAAACCTAGATTTCGTGTCCCCCCCCCCCATCACTGGACAATCATTCCCCTTTTTTGTCATCGTCCTATCACAAATGAGGGGTTTTGTCGGAGTTACATCACACTAAAACTTCATATCTCTATCTCCATCGAAATCAAATCTGAACACTATTGGAACCTAAAACAAACAAGGAAAGATGATGTATATATATATATATATATGTATGTATGTATGTATGTATGTGTGTACATATGGGAACCTACAAAGCTTGATGAAACCCTATACATGGGTGATAGGGACCTACAAAGATTGGGGTTTGGAGTTCTATAGTGGTAGTTCAGGGGGGAGGTGGGTATAGAAAGAGAGGAAATGGTTGTGGTAGAAAGAGATCGTCGAGTCTGATGGTGGTGATGAGGGATCTGGTCTTCCGGTTCAACCTTGGAGATCCATTTATGATGCTCCTCGCAAAGGGTGTTCATGGGTTGGGTTGATCGAGTTGAATACATTTGAACAATCCAACCCAATACTTGCGGTCTGGAAAAATCTTAACCCAACCCATACAGGTTAGTCGGGTTGATATTTTGGTATATTAAAATATTTTTCTAACCTTGTTATTTTTACTCATAATTTCTTTTTCATTATCAACCATTTGATACAACTTATCCATGTTTCTTACATATATCACATTCAATTAATTTTCTCAATTTACATATATATGTTCATAGTTACTGAACATATATATGAATATATTGAAAATATGTGTATATGAAAAGCATACATGATAATGTAATTGTCTAATGTATATATTAATAGAAATTCAATAATCATATTAAATCCAATAAATAAAAGGATATTGGGTTCATCGGGTTGGTTTGAGTTCAAATAATAGTAACCCAATATCTACGGTTTGAAAATTTTACAACTCGATTAGACATCGGGTTGCACCATTCCTTCCATGAATTCCCTCATTCTAACCAAATTTCTTAACAGAGTTAGAGGGATGTTTCAGATAGTGCAAAATTGTAAACTACGAGTCCTATCCTTGTATTTATCTTGTTTTTGGGACAAAAGTGGGTAAAAAGTGTAAACAATAGGGATTAAATTTGTAATTTACTCAATTTATAACTTTTTAAAATTAATTTAACTAGTCCATTTATTTTATTGATAGTTTTTAATAAACATAACTAAGAGGCCGTTTACCTAAACACTTACCTGATAAACATTTATCGGCAAAATTCAACATTATCGCTTACTTACCGGGTGAGATTTTATTCATTAAAACGTCTCGTATGCAACAATTTATCATGATAAGCGCTAACCATGGTAAGAGTCATCGTTCTTACTTACCGGGTAAGACTCTCGATTCTTGCCTTTGCTCTTACCGGGTAAGATTATTAGCCCTTGTCATATTCACTCGGTAAAGTAAAATGATTTGGTAAGCGCTTACCCAAGTAAGCATTTGGTAAACGACACCTAACTTATTAAGTAACAACTAATTTATTAGTTAACACCTGAATTTTCATCTAGTAGTTATCTTTTAAATCAGTTTCCAAAAAACCCACACCTTTTTGCATAAAACACAACTTTAAATTAAATGTATTCACATTATATTTTGCACAAAATTAGTGCTATGGATAGTCAAAATACTAAGGGGGTGTTTACTTGCGGCTCAATGATCTTAATGGTGTAATTGGCTTAGTCGCACAACCATTCTAGGCTGTTTACTTGCGACTTATTCACATAAAATATGACTTAATCGCACAGATATATATGATGTGTTGTCCTTGTTCAGAAAAAAAGACTTCCTTACCCCTTATACTTGAGATACGCCTCACGGCTCCTTCCAAGTTACAAACACAACATGCCTCCTTCATCCCCGTCTCCATCGCCATCTTCAAACTTCGTTTCCATCGTCACCATCTCCAAGCTTCATCTACATCGTCACCATCTCAACCATCACCACCGATTTCGACCTTAAAAAACCCTAGCGGATTTCGACTTTCAAAAGCTTTCTTCGAGCATGGCCGATTGGTCTTTTGATAGCTGGAGCTTTTTCCAAGAGTTATCGCCATCTTCATAGTCGCTAATACCTCAAGAAGTAGTTCTCTCGCTATCCGGCGAGAAGACACCGGCCTATTCACATCGATCCCTTTAGGAACCGCATACTAAAGGTAAACCGGTCATTTATGTCATTCAGGTAAAAAAGTAAACAATAATACCAAATTATCCATACAGACACATTTTTCATACAAGACTTAATATAAAATATGGTAAAAATCCTTTAAATTTGATGTATCAATCTCACTTATACAATTTGTTAAATAGCAAATTAGTGTAAAAAACTATATATTTAAAATATTCATTATGGTATAAGAAATGTTGGTGATAACTTAAAACAAATTATCATATGGTACAAAGGATAATGGAGTATGCATCCTCTTTAATATCATAATTAGGTCAAAGCATTGATATTTTAAAAAGTAAAATTTGATGTTGATTTAATTTGAAAAGGAAATTAATAGATGGTGTTGATAATTGAAGGTTAATTTATTTTAAAATTTTATGAGAAGTGTATTCGTGTAATACAGTAAGATACATTTTGATTTTGATTTTAATATTTTATTTTATTCTTTATTTTAGCCGATGTTATAATATGATCTTATGTGATTTTGAAAAAACGATGATGTTTTTATTTTTGAATAAAATATAAATTTGAAAACATCATAAAAATTTGACAAAAATATTTCGATATTAATATCAAATTAACAATTTAAAATTCCTTTTTTTGTGTAATTTTTTAATTCAATTTTTTTATTATAATTTAACTTAGACTCAATGACGAAGTAATTTATATTTGGTTTAATAATATATTTTTCTTATAAAGATAATAATTAATTATTTTGTTAGAACTCGTAAATTATTCTAATTATATAGATTTTTTATATTTAAAATGAGATGTTTATTCTCTATTTGATTATGATTATCCGCAGTTAGTTACACGAATTCAAACATGAAACTTTAATAAGTTGTATTTATGCATAATTTACTTGTAATCTTAAATTTTAAATAATACGCATCTATTTGGTGATGATCGATTAAGGTTAATCGATTGAGAAATGTTCTTTTTGAGGGTTTGGAGAATACTATTTTGTTCCCTTGTATTTAAAAAGGTAAAATTTAGTTCAAGGATGAAAATAACAATAAATTATAAACTATAAAAACAAAAATCTCAATATTTAAACCATAAGGACTCAGATCGCAATTTTAACAAACTATAGGGACTAAAAATGTAATTTGCTATAAAAAAAGATTGTGGAAATAAAAAGCACGAAAAGTGGTCCCAATTGGGATGACAGCTCCGCACCTACCCAATTTACCCGCGCCACCCAACTGGCGGGAAACCCTCGTTTTTGAGGGAAACCCTAATTCCAAAATTCAAACGCCACCGCTCACACTTCCCCAGGCTATAAAATCAATTGAAGCAGCCTTCTTGCTGTTGTGCACCATTCCTTCCACGAATTCCCTCTGATTTTCTCTGAAAACATGTATGTGGTGAAGAGAGATGGGCGTCAAGAGACTGTGCATTTCGATAAGATCACTGCTCGATTGAAGAAACTCAGTTATGGACTTAGCATTGAACACTGTGATCCAGTGCTTGTTTCCCAGAAGGTGTGTGCTGGTGTTTACAAGGGAGTTACCACAAGCCAGCTTGATGAACTTGCCGCGGAAACCGCCGCTGCCATGACTGCTAACCATCCCGACTATGCTTCCGTAAGTTTCTATTCACGTTACCGGATTATTCATTTCTTTTCAGTTATTCTGTTTTCGATTTGTTTCTTAGGATAAGAATACTGATGAATTGTTTGTTGATTACGGAATTTTGTTGTTTCGTAATGATTACTTACAATTCCGTCACTCCAGTGGTTCAATTTAGGTTTGAATGCTGTGTAATATTGAGGTGGATTTGTAAATTAATTAAAACGCACCAATCAGTTGGACTCAAAAACCATTTAAATCAAAGTAGGTGAACTTGCTGCTTTTGCAAGTGTATACATGATATGTCTACCATAGCATCGTCTGAAAATTACTCTCTTTGAATTTTATTGTTCTCGATCAGGGGTTTTTAGGTTCTGTTGATGAAATTAACTACTATACACTTTTTTCTTTGATTTTTATGATTACTTAATTGAATCGCTTCATTTTTGATGCAGTTGGCTGCAAGGATTGTTGTCTCGAATTTGCACAAGAACACCAAGAAATCATTTTCTGAAACGTAAGTGAAGTTGCATTAGTATATGCTTTACATAACACTATTTTCACTATCTGGGTGTGTAGTTCAAGAGTTAGATATTTATGTCTTATTTAAATCGTAGTATGTTTTTATTCTCTGGATTGGTACTCAATCTCGGTTATCACTGCAGAATCAAAGAAATGTATGCACATGTCAGCGAGAGATCTGGTCAGAAAGCCCCCCTTATAGCAGATGATGTTTATGAAATCATCATGAAGGTGATATATGTTTACTAACATGTTATAGCTGTTTGAGGTTTAAGTGGGTTGTTATGACAAAACAATCACAGATCCTAGATCATGTGTAGCAATGCATAATTAAGGAGAGATCTCTTTGTACTTGTTCTTTTCTTTTTTGAGGGTGGAGATGGGGTTTATCAAATCTATTTGAGGTTCTTTTATATCCTCTAAAATTGGTTATGCCTCTCTATCATGATTATATAAGATGCATACATTCTGGGTGTCGACCCACAGTTATGACTTATCTTATGGAAGCGTGCAATTGGCAGTTGGCACATCGCTGTAGATTTTCTATTTGATAACACAATACATGAACTTTCTTATAAAGGTAGTTATATATATATGTAGGTGTATTAACTGCTTATGACTTTTTTGTTTCAGCATGCTACTAGGTTGGACAGCGAGATTATATATGACCGGGACTTTGACTATGATTATTTTGGTTTTAAAACCCTTGAGAGATCTTATCTTTTGAAGATCCAAGGGAAAGTTGTTGAAAGGCCTCAGCATATGCTGATGAGGGTTGCGGTTGGGATTCATAAGGATAACATTGATTCTGTAATCAGGACTTATCATTTGATGTCACAAAGGTGGTTCACTCATGCTTCTCCCACTCTCTTCAATGCTGGAACACCAAGGCCCCAAGTATGAATACTCTTTATGTTTATTGCTTTCTCCTTTGTGGATTGCAACACTCTTGACATTTCATTAAAGAAATTTCTTACTGTGCCATAGATTTTTGACTTCTTGATAGTAGTATATGTTTTTTTGTTTCTCACATGGAGTCAATAATGTGACTTGCAGTTGAGTAGCTGCTTTCTGATATGCATGAAAGATGATAGCATTGAGGGAATATATGACACTTTGAAGGAATGTGCTGTTATCAGCAAATCAGCAGGAGGAATTGGTGTCTCTGTTCATAATATCCGTTCAACTGGAAGTTACATACGTGGAACAAATGGTACATCCAATGGCATTGTTCCAATGTTGCGTGTCTTCAATGATACTGCCCGTTATGTTGACCAAGGAGGTGGCAAGAGAAAGGGTATGTTGTTCAGTTATGATTATACTCTACTCTCTTTGTTTCGTATAATTGTGCTTCTGTATGGTAATTCAATTTTAAATAATTTAGGTGCGTTTGCTGTTTATTTGGAGCCATGGCATGCTGATATCTTTGAGTTTCTTGATTTGAGGAAGAACCATGGAACGGTATAAAATGTTTCACTATGAAATCTGCTTAATTTTTCTTTTTCCTCAGCTGAAAACCATATTTTCTGTTTGAGTTGATCCAATCCATTCTTATGGTTAAGGTTTTTATTTGGCTAGTGTCTCACAAAGTTTGAAAATGATTAAATTATCATGCAGGAAGAGCAGCGGGCTCGGGATTTGTTTTATGCTCTTTGGGTACCTGATCTCTTTATGAAGAGAGTCCAGAGTAATGGCACTTGGTCTCTGTTTTGTCCAAATGAGGCTCCAGGTTTGGGTGATTGTTGGGGTGAGGAGTTTGAGCGCCTCTATACCCAATATGAAAGACAGGTAAAGCTAGCCTTTTTGTCATGCTCTGTAGTTTCCTTATAATTAGGTTTATTTTATATTAGTTCTATTGCCTAATAGTATTACCATCTTACGAACTCAGGGGAAAGCTAAGAAAGTGGTCCAGGCACAGGCTCTTTGGTTTGAAGTTCTGACGGCTCAGATAGAAACTGGGACCCCTTTTATGCTCTTCAAGGTAGTTTTAGAGACTAAAATACTTTGTTAGTGTAGTTCAAGTTTTGCAGTAATCATGTCATTTCTTCATATTTTCCCAAATAAAATCATGTTGCTCTTTTCTTAGGACTCCTGTAATAGAAAAAGCAACCAGCAGAATCTTGGTACCATCAAGTCTTCAAACCTGTGTACCGAGATTATTCAGTACACAAGTCCAACAGAAACTGCTGTATGTAATCTGGCATCCATTGCGTTACCCCGATATGTGCGAGAGAAGGTATGGTTTTAGTGATAACCCTTCTTAAATATGATTGGCCCACTTCATATTTGGTTAGGCGTTGTTTGAAGTTGTATTTTGTCTCTTTCAGGGGATTCCAGCAGAATCTCAACCATCAAAGCTTGTTGGTAGCAGAGGTTCTGGCAACCGCTACTTTGATTTTGACAAACTAGCTGAGGTTTGGTTTGTTATGCAATGTTTCTAATCTTTACTGGCTTCAAAGCTTGCAATGGGTCATTCTTTGGAAACTATTATTTCACTATGATCACAAATCTTTACCTTTGTGTTGGGCAGATCACATCAATCGTTACCAGAAATCTCAACAACATTATAGATGTAAACTATTATCCAGTTGAAACTGCAAAAAGGTCAAATTTACAGCACAGGCCAATTGGTATTGGGGTCCAGGGTCTTGCAGATGCTTTCATATTGCTTGGCATGCCATTTGATTCACCAGAGGTAATACTTGTCTTCTCTGATGTTGTAAACCTTATGTGAGTGTTGCTTGTTGATTCTCATTATTTTTCATCATGAACTACAGGCTCAACAGTTGAACAAAGACATATTCGAGACAATATATTACCATGCTCTGAAAGCTTCATCTGAGTTAGCCGAAAAAGAAGGCACTTATGAAACATACAATGGCAGTCCTGTTAGTAAGGTTGGACTCCTTGAATATGTTCTTTTGTTATGCTGACATAGTGACATCATATCTGATATTTGCATTTGATTGAGTGTTAATTTAACATTTTATGGATTTCAAAAATCAGAAAAGTAGTGATCCTGCTGGAACCCCTTTAACTCTTTTGTGCCATCTATCTATAGGGAATTCTCCAACCAGATATGTGGGGGGTAACTCCTTCGGATATGTGGGACTGGAATGCTCTCCGTTCAATGATAGCCAAAAATGGAGTACGGAATTCACTACTTGTTGCTCCCATGCCAACTGCTTCAACAAGCCAAATTCTTGGAAATAATGAGTGTTTCGAGCCATACACATCCAATATGTACAGTCGCAGAGTTTTAAGGTAGATGATTCTGTGGGTTTTGGTTAGTTTTTTGATAATTTTTAATTTTGAAGATTGTTGCTGTTAGATATTGAACTGTAATTTCTGTGTGCAGTGGCGAGTTTGTGGTGGTGAACAAGCATTTGTTGCATGACTTAACTGAGATGGGCCTTTGGTCTCCCACTGTTAAGAATCAGATTGTCATTGAGAATGGTTCTGTTCAGAAAATTTCTGAAATTCCCCAAGATCTGAAAGCTATTTACAAGTATGATTTGGAGCCCATTTTCTTTATCATATTTTTCTATCTTTTTCTGGCCTCAATTCTTATTCGATAATGTGAAATCAGAACTGTGTGGGAGATCAAACAAAAGACGTTGGTTGATATGGCTGTGGATCGTGGATGCTACATAGACCAGAGTCAAAGTCTAAACGTACATATGGATCAACCCAACTTTGGCAAGCTTACTTCGTTGCACTTTCATGCTTGGTCCAAGGTATGTGAACTGTTTCGAAATATAGTAAATTTATGTTATTATTTGCGTGTTGTAACTGGTTTTTTGTAAATCGTTCTGGTGTTTTTTATGATACTAAACAAATGAAGCCTTTTGAACAACTAGCAGGGGTCTGAGGTTTTCACGACTGTTAACACCAGTGCTTGTTGGATCAGTCGCTCCGCTAATATGTAACATCATTTAGTGCGGTTTACTTGGTTTAATTGTTAAGTATTGTCATGTAGGGGCTTAAAACAGGGATGTACTATTTGCGATCACGTGCTGCAGCTGATGCAATCAAATTCACTGTTGATACTTCCATTCTCAAGGTATATCTCATCTCCTTCGAATCTCATGTTTTTTCTCGTCATCTTGAAACTTACACTCACCAAAATAATTGTAATCCAGGAAAAACCAAAGATAGCAGCGAGCGAAGAAGATGATAACACCAAAATGTCACAGATGGTGTGTTCGTTGATGAACCGTGACGAATGTATGGCTTGTGGAAGTTAGATTAATTATACCTGATTAAGAATGGAAGGCTAGATGGTGTTCAATTGCGATGATACTTGTCTTGGTAGGTGGTTAGGAAGTATGATATGTATATTGATTTAACTTCAAACTTGGTTTATGTATGGGGTATAAATATTAAATGTTCTCTTTTACTTTGCATTGTTGTTATAGTCAGAAAGAATTGCAAGTCCAACACCACAAATGTCAAACTTAAATTATATATGATTACACACATGATACACGAGCTTAATCATATAATATTAAACATATATTGTATTAACAATACATGTATGTTTAATAATATATGATTAAACATATCCAAAAAAATATAATTATATATGATATTGAAACCTTTATACGTCTAACTCCTCGATACTTTGTTTCTAATCCATCATCCTCTTTTTGTATCGTACTACTGCTTTCTGTATTGATGTATGTGTATATGTATGTTGAACATGCTCTCATTATCTGCTATAACATCATGTAGCATTTAATACAAGGAAAGAAGTCAAACTTTACAAAAATAATTTATATTTTTTAGAAATTTAAGTTTGACTTGTAATTATATACCAACACTTTTCAAATTTTTGTCGGTTAAACCATTTTAATTACATCCACTAAAACTAAGTGATTAATTTCAAATAAGACAATAAGAAAAAAAATTAAACAGGTAAGAGTAGGGGAGTGTTAATGGCACCTTTTAATAAGAGGTGTTGAATGTTTTGCGAATTACAATTGATATAAGCCCATCAAATGTCAAAATCAACAATAATATATATATTTTATTATTATATGTATATACGTATACATACATACATACACACACACACACATATATATATATATATATATAGGTGAATTATTATGCAACATTTTACATTTGTACAACCAATACAATTCAATCTCAATCGTCAATTTAATTTGACAAATATATGATTTCATAAAAATTTTGATTGTTGTCTAATACAAAGTATTGATCATAATTAATAAACTCTAGTCATCTTCCATAAATATTCAAATCAGAATAAATGAACTCTTATCATTTCTATTAATATCTCAATTAATTGGGTTGCATTGGTTGTACAAATGGATATGGTTGCATTTGAAATATACCACACACACAGAGTTTTTCCTTGTGTGGTTGAGATCGGATCTCGCGGTTACCACAAACAACTTAGTTTTTCCTTGAATGAGCCTCTATATATATATATACCCTATATATATATATATACCCTATATATATATATATACCATATATATATATATATACCATATATATATATATATATATATATA